CCCGTGGGACAGAGCAGCGGGGGCGCTGCGGGGTAGGTCCCCGCAGCGCCGCACCTTGGCACTGTGGGGACCAACCCTGCAGCACCCCAGCTGCTCTGTCCCAGGCATCCCCAAGAGCAGCTGGGATGCTGCTGGGTTGGTCTTGCAGCGCCAAGGGGCAGCACTACCGGACCAACCCGGCAGCACCCCAGCTGCTCTGCCCCAGGCATCCCCGATTCAGCCGTTGCTAAAACTGATCAGCAGTGGCTGAATCGGGACAGCTGGGGCAGAGCCCAGCTATCGGAATGGGGGGGCTATGAGGGGTCTGGAGTGGCATCCCCTCCAACCCCACACCAGACCCCTCATAGCCCCCCCTTCCGATAGTCCGGCATATCTGATAATCTGGCACCCCCTGGGTCCTAAAGGTGCCGGATTATCGGAAGTTTACTGTAATTACAAAATAAATAAATAAAGGTACTTGGAACACGGGCAAGCATATGCCTTTCACTCCAAAACTACAGCTCTGCTGATAAGGTAACAATAGCCAAATTGACACAGGACCGGAGAGAAACCGAATAAGATTTGCACAGGAGTAAAAACTCCCCCTCATCCTCACAGTGACACAACAGCACAGCGAGAACTAATTGAGTATTCCTACCAGTCAAAAACCATGACTCCAGCCTTCAAAAATCATGATTAATAATTTTTAAATTCATTATTCTGTTTTCTGGTGTTTAAGATTTTAGGGTTCACATTTCAATCTTCTCTCTCCAAGCGTGAGAGTTAGAAACAGGCTTATTTTGTATGTTGACTTGCAAATATTTTTCTTCTGTGGCCTGATGGTATTTCCAAAACTTTAAAATTTAATTTGGGAGGAGGTAGCACCATTCACATTTTATTTTAATACTGCCTTATTGCTTGTAAGGAGTCAAAATACAGTTTCAGCAGCAGGTGAGAGATAGATTTGTTTTGTTAGTAGAGGCTGCACCCTCCCTGGTCCAGCATCCTCAGGACCTGACAGGTCCGGGATGAGAGATTTTTCCCAGACCAGGAGAGGTCATTTCAGGCTCCCCACTGCTGGCTGCCCCAGGTTTCCTGGCTCCCACCACAGGCAAACTGAGCCGTGCGCTGGCCCCTCTGCAGCCCAGCTGAGCCTCGCACCAGCTCCCAGTCCTCCACTCCACTGCATCTCACCGGGACACTCTGATCCAGGAACATCTGTGGTCATGCTGGACCAAAGAATCCCAGATTTTAGAGGTGCAACCTTTACCAGCAGATGCCAGTGGAAAGAAAGTATCTTCCAATATAAAATGTGCCAGCGGGCGCAACGTAGCAAGGGTAGCAAGAAGGACAACGATATCTGAATTCCTTGTGTGTACAAAGAATGAGTAGTCGACTAGTCAATTAACTGATA